ATAAAAAAAAAAGTGAAATTTTTAGAAAACCTGAATTTTTGATAAAAAGGCTGAAATTCAAGAGATAAAAGTGAAAAAAGCGGAAATCCGCTAAAAAGCGGAAAAATCTCATCCCTGTTTGAAAAGTGATTGAATCTGTCTCTTATCTGCAAGAACGGATTCCCCCCCCCCAAAAAAAAATTTGCAATATTGCAGTATTTTTATAATTTTTTACTTCTCATTTAGGGGAAGATTTTTTTTCTTACTGGTTAAGAATTTCTTTTTTTGTTAGGTCACATTTTAAGGAAGTCTTAAAAATACTGAAATTAAAACTTCATATCAAGAAAAAATAAAGGACAAAACATTTTTTAAATGTAGGACATTTAACAGCAATTTTTATGAAAAAAATTACAGGAAAACAAGGAAATATAGGAGAAGTGTAAGGCTTGAATTAGTGTTCTGTCGACAAAGGAACCAAAAAAAGGGGGGGGGGAGAAATTTATATAATTTTGATTCACTGGCCTTAGATTCACTCAGGAATAAAAACTCAATTCGTTTACTGATTTCAGTCTGCATTGACCATAGAACTGATACAAAATAGTAGGCATAGAATGGCAGTCATAGGTTATCTAGCTTATTGCCTTAATTTGGATTTTTTCCCCTCTGTGTCATGCGAATGCCAATGAGTTTCACTACATAAGAACTCTGCTTAAAGTTGAATTTTTTTAAATGATATAATCCAGAAGTTTCTTTGTCTTCATAATTATTAAGTTTAACATTATAACCTGCTGATAGGTTGGCCGCTGATGAAAAAAATTAAATTATAATATCTTAAAATTTTAAATTAAGTATATAACCCACTTAACATAAAAAAACAAGCATGCAAAAGAGGTTTATTTCAACTAAAGATCAAAAAGAGTCTACACTAAAAAGGTACATGGTAAAGCAAAGTAGCCCAATCACCAAAAATATAAAAATTTATAACACAGCATGCTTATATTTTTAACGAAAATACCTCAGGTGCTGAAGTTGCAACTGATGGAGGAGGTTGGATGAGGGTTAAAACTTTTTGCCCTCCAACTACAGATTGTTTAGCTTGGAGGATGCCTTGAGTTGGCAATGTAAGTATTTGTGCTCCACCACTTGAAATCTGAATGGAATCAAAAGTCATTATAGAAAAGAAATAAAATCTATCCTGAGATTTTTACTCCATGCAAAACATACATTTTCCTGGGCTTTGAAATAGTTAATAAATAAAATTGAATGGCTGAAGTAAATTAAATTGCAAGTAACACAATAAACATAGGTAAAGTAGCTGGGAGACAAGCAGTCATTCTAAACTGCCAGTGCTCTCACTGGCTTCTGAATAACCATCCTCAAGAGTGATTTAGCTGTAGAAAAAAATTATCAATATAAATACACCTCACCTTCTGTTACTGATTCAATTCATCTATCGGCTATATAATCTATCAAAGCAATTATACTCTCTGTTTAAATAAAAATTATAAACAAGCACCATAAAAAAATTTAATTTAACATATTCAATTTTCAGGTGTAAAATGAGTAATGTGCAGATTAAAAAAGTGTTTTTGTTGATATTGAAATACTTTGTTGCCAAAGTAGTTAGTCCAATGCTTTTATTTTAATAATGCATATTATATTATTTTTATTTATCACATCATTTAGGTTCAAATTTCATCTGAATTTATAAGACTAGATAGTAAAATCAATTGTTATTATCAAGAAAATTAGGTGAGTACGATAAAAATAAATTAAGAAAAAGAAATATATCTGTAAGCTCTAACATGTGTAAACTCTTATTTACTGGGCAAAAAATAAAATAAACATAAGAGAGAGAATATAAATACCTGATTTGTATTCGTAGTGGTTAAAGATTTGGCTGGAATAGAGATACTGCTGACTTTATTTGTCAATGAAGATGGCATGGTAATAGTAATGGGAGATGTTACAGTTGATGATGATTGAGATACTGAAAATAAACATTGAAGTTATAAATATGAATTATAGCTTGTATATTTTATTTACTTCCGACATTTTCTTTTCTAACTTCATTAAATACACAAAACAAACAACGTAAGAAATATTTTAACTATTAATACCTTGAAAATGTTACTAAATTATAATTAATTAAAAATATAAGTAGATTAAGTAGAAGTAGTAAGTAGAATGTATTTTAACAAAAATTTGAAATAACTTTCAAATCTTCAAGATATAAGTTTCTTTATTGATCTTCTAATTCAGTGTTTCCCAAACTTATGACTTTTGTGTACCACTAACAAAAAAATGAATGTATTTTTTAAAAAATATCTTCATTTTTCTTTTTTGGTACAAAGTTTTGTAAATAAGTTTATTTGCACGAGTGAGAAGGATGATATTTTCACTGTGATAAAAAAAATTGCACAAAAAGTTAAAAATCACAACTGTTTGTTGACACCACTAATTATTAACTGTTAACTCTGCAAAAAATTGTCAGTAGAAAAATACGTAATCATAAATTTACATGGCTAGCTTTGTTTTTAAATAAAATTTTTTGAAATTTTTGTTTGTTGCAAGATATTTCTATCTTGCTACTAACTAATACTAAATAAGTTTATTTGCACGAGTGAGAAGGATGATATTGTTTTCACTGTGATAAAAAAAAAATTGCACAAAAAGTTAAAAATCACAACTGTTTGTTGACACCACTAATTATTAATTGTTAACTCTGCAAAAAATTGTCAGTAGAAAAATACGTAATCGTAAATTTACATGGCTAGCTTTGTTTTTAAATAAAATTTTTTGAAATTTTTGTTTGTTGCAAGATATTTCGCTTAAGAACATGTACCCCTGCTAAACTCATCCTGTACCCCTGGGGCTACATGTACCACACTTTGGGAAACACTGTTCTAATACATTAGCCTTAGAAAATCTAAAATATCTCTCAAATAATAATACAAAAATCAGGTGAAAATTTTTATGATAAAATTTGAAATCAATTATAATTTTGCATAACAGGAACTACATAAAAGACAAAAAATAAATATCAGTATTAAAAAAACTATTAGTTCTAAATTGTTTTAACAAAAATTTAATTAACAATACTTTCTTGCTGTTTTAAAAAGTTAAGCATAAAACCTAAACTTATAATACATTAAAAGACAATTTCATATTGTTGTTAACTCAACTTAAATTATCATTCGCATGGAATGTTAGACAGATTCCAGAAAACTAAGGAAATCAAAGATAAAGGAATAACACCTACCATTGGTTGATGTAGTAGTGATGATGGTGATGCCTTGCTGTCCAGAGGTCAAACCAGCGGAGGAAACTACAATCATTTTAACACCAGAAGGTGTAGTAATGGTATTTAATGGTGTAGCTCCACCAAGAGGAAGCATAGTTTTTCCTGAAAAAGACAATTTTAACCATTACTCTAAAAAAAAAAGACAGTTAAAAATTAAATAAAAAACTATAAAAACATTAGCATTAAAATTGACTCCAGTCGGAACAAAACTTTTGTATGGAGAAAAACCTTTTTATTTTGTTTTTTTATTCACATAAAATTAATCATTTTATATGAATGAAAAAAAATTAATTTTGTTAGTTAAGTTGGTTTTGTCAGGGAAAATAGATTTAGCTAAATTGTTTTTCTAAACACTGCAAATGAATTATTTACCTTTAAAAAAAAAAATTTCAAGTTTTAAAAATTGTATACCTTAAATTCTAAAGTAGAGTTCATACTTAATTTAAGGAAGACCACTCTTATTGATAATATCAGAAATATTCTACACTTCAAGCGAACGAAATTGATTTTGAAGTTCATCAACTGTTACATCTTTAGATTTAATTAGTGATAGAAATAAACTAAAAATAAAAAAAACAACAACTGAACAATAGAAAATTTTGCAGATTCTATTCTGGTCACTTCAGCATCAATTATATTCTATGAAAAATGCCATAAATAATATTTCAGCGTTAAGTACATTCGTATAATCATTCTTCAGATATCCATCTAATTTGAGCTTGGGTTGACTGATGCAGTGAATTTTCCGTGCCTGATGAGAAATGATAAAATAGTAACGACAAATCTGTTAGATAAATAAACGCTAAAGGTTTTTTTTTCTATTTTGATTAAATAACATAAAAATAAAGGGTATAGGTTCAATCTTCATCAGTCGTTCAAGATGACGGTTTCATACATTCAACTTCAGTCGGCAACGTCATAACCAGAGGGGATCAGCCAGTTTCTTTTAATTTGCTGTTAGTTGTTCTTGCGTGGATCAAGACGTCATCCGTTTAAAGAGTAGTGAAGCTTCTGTTGAAGCTGATTATTCTGCATTATTTCTTTTCGCTATTCATTTGTCACTGTGTTTTAATTAATTGCTATAGAAATAAAATTTATTGCTATAGAAACTTCGTCATTTATTCGTTTTGTTGACAAACAGATACAATGATATTCTACAACAATCTCGGATGTCAAAATCTCGCAGAACAAGCATTTACCGCCAAGTTTAGAGGGTCTTAAAAATGGAAATTCCTTTGAACATTTTGCCTAAGTCTTTTTATTGCCATAACTTTTATCATAAGTGAATAAAATATTCAAAATAACAATAAAAATTTAAAAGTATTGCTCGCCATCCATGTGATCTATACAAAAAACAATCATTGAGTTGCACATATGACACAAATTCCTATGCAAGAAATGCTTAAGTCACGCCTACATAACACAGTTTATCTGCTGAAGGTTGTTCTCGCTGCTATGTTTTGGTACATCAGTTCCCTTCTGCATAGGTATCTGCACAATGGGAAAACCAATTCCATACACAAGAAACGCACTTGTGGTGCAAATCTAGAAGCGTCATTTTTAAAAAAATGTACTCGGAAAAAATAATTTAAAATGCATAAAAAATGGTGTACAAGCTTAGAGGTGACTGGAAATGCATAAAAGTTGGCAGGTATGAAAACTTATTACTTTTTCTAAAATTCTTACCAGGGGTCTGTTTAGAAGAAATTTGAGTTTGTTAACGGACCCTTCACAAAATAATTTAACCTAAAAACGGACCCTTCACAAATTTGATTATCTTCATTATTGTTTTGTTAATTGAATAAATTCTTCCCAGGGAAGTGGTAAAAGAACTAAGTTTTGTCATAAATGCGTTTAACGCTTCTTGTTTAAGACCACTAAGTAATGTGCTTTTTTATAAGTTCATTGCTGAAAAGCCCCTTTCAACCGTTGCAGTACTCCCAAACAGAGAAAACATCAATTCCACCATGCGCAGTATGTTGCTCTGGGGTCTGTTTAGAAGAAATTTGGGTC